TTACGAAGTTATGCCCTGCGGCTTGAAGAACGCCGGAGCCACCTATCAGCGCCTAATGCATAGAATCATCACGAAACAAATCGGTCGGTGCATGGACGTATATGTAGATGACATGGTCATCCGCTCGCCGAACAAACAAAGTCATGTGAAGGACTTGGAAGAGGTATTCCGGCAGGTGAGAAAGTACGGGATGCGGCATAACCCGGCCAAGTGCACCTTTGGGGTTGCCGCTGGGAAATTCCTCGGTTTCATGCTCACAGCCCAGGGTATTGAAGCAAACCTGGACAAATGCACGACCGTAATAGAAATGCAAAGTCCAACCACGCTTAAGGAGATCCAAAGGTTGGTCGGATAGCTCACTGCATTGTCATGATTCATCCCGAGACTGGCTGAGAAAATCAAATCGGTGCTTCGAAAGATGAGGAAGGGGCCCACGGTCGAGTGGGATACGGAGTGTGAACAAGCTTTTCAGGATGTCAAAACCATCCTGATGAATCCGCTAGTGATGAACCTTTGAACGTCGAGCGAAGATTTACAAGTCTTCTTAGGCGTGTCTGAGTCGGCAATAAGCGCGGTATTAATGCAAGATCGACCCAAGCCCAAAATCGTATACTTCATCAATCGTACACTTCAAGACGCCGCGACTCGATATCAGCAAGTGGAAAAGGTCTCCTTGGCTTTGTTGAACGCGTCCAGAGGCTCCGGCCATACTTCCATAGCCACCAGGTGGTTGTTAGGACTGATTTTCTGATCCCCAAAATCCTCAGGAAACCAGACGTAGCGGGACGCATGGTGGCTTGGGCGGTCGAACTATCAGAATTCAGTCTACGCTACGAACCGAGGGGATCGATTAAAGGCTAACATTTGGCTGATTTTGTGGCGGAGTTACCCCACACGATCCACGATGAGTGGAATCTGTATGTCGATTGCGCGTCAGGAAGAACGATAAGTGGGGCAGGCATAGTCTTGGAGGGCCCGAACGGGTTCTTATTGAAGCACTCCTTGATCTTTAAGTTCAAGGTGTTCAACAACCAGGTGGAATACGAAGCCCTGGTGGCTGGCCTCGAACTGGCAAGAGACATAGGGGCTCAGAAGGTCATATGCTGCACAGATTCCCAACTCGTCGTGGGACAAATGAACGGCGATTTCCAAGTAAAAGAGGGGCAACTCTTTCGATATTTTCATCGAGCGACAGCCCTAGTGAAACTGTTTGACAAAATCGATATTCGGCTCATCTCTCGCGAAGATAACACCCGAGCGGACATGTTGTCAAAGTTAAGTTCAGGAAAAAAGAAAGGGCAATTGACGACCATTATACGCCAAGTTTTGCTGCAGCCATTAGTCGAATGCTTGACGGTATCAAATATTGAGGCGGAATATTAGCGAACGGAGATCCAAGCGCTAATGACCCAACAAGACGCCGGACAATCAATTAAGCCGACAGATTCTAAAAAGATTGTTAGTTACCTCATGGTGGGGGACGACCTGTACCGTAGGGGATTCTCCACCCCTCTCCTCAAATGTCTCGGGAAAGAGGAAGCCTGGTACGTAATGGACGAGCTCCATAGTGGCATCTGTGGTTTTCATACCGGTCGTAAGACTTTGAAGGCCCGGATACTAAGGGCGGGATATTATTGACCGATGGTAGAAGAAGACGCTAGGACGTTCGTCCAGAAGTGCCTCAGCTGCCAAGCCCACGCCAACTACACCCATGCACCACCCCACACCTTACATACAATAACATCACCCTGGCCTTTCGCTCAATGGGCATGGATATCGTGGGACCATTCCCAACAAGTCGGGCGCAGAAGAAATTCCTCCTCGTGGCAATAGATTATTTCACTAAGTGGGTAGAGGCCGAACCTCTGGCAACCATAACGGCATCCCAAGTTCAAAAATTCTGCTGGAAATT